GAAAATTTTCTTTTATTTTGATATGATATCATTGAATAAAAACTATTTTAGCTACCACAAAATATAGGTATCTTCACTTAAATAGTCGGGTAGATTTACTATTACTTTTTCTAGCCGGCATACATACATATATATATATTGATTACACATGATCGTACACATTACAAATGAATTATACATATATAATATATTATATACTCACCGATTTATTTTTTATTGTTTAATCAATTGGATGAACAACTATTTATGTTAATTCTTCAAAAATAATCTTAATTGCAAATTTTTGCTACATTTATTTTCAAAACTAAATATGTATGTATTTTTTTATAATATCATTAATATGGGGAACACGCGCAACGCGCGTGCACAGAAACTAGTGTTACAATTAAATATACAAACAATTTTTACTATATAGTGGAACCCCAACTAACTTGTGATTGAGCTACTGAGGATTCATTTGTTTAGGATTTTAAAACTTTTCTTTACTTTCATTTCTTTTTCCAATTACGTACCTTCAATTTTGCAGGATCGCTACTTAAAACGAAAGTATCCGCACCAAGCTTCTTGATGGCCTCATCTTCCTTCTTTGGAGAGGTGCTGATGACAGTAACTTTTAACCCGAAAGCCTTTCCAATCTTCACAGCAATGTGACCAAGGCCACCCAATCCAGCAACACCCAAATGTTTGCCTGGTTCGGTCATACCATAGTACTTAATCGGGCTGTATACAGTGATTCCAGCACATAATAAAGGTGCCCCAGCATCAGATGGTAGGTTTTCAGGAAATTGAAGAACGAAGTGCTGATGAACAACTATCATATCAGAGTAACCGCCATAGGTATTTATACCATCATGGTCTGTGGAGTTGTAGATAAATATCATTTTGGGACAATAGTTCTCCAAGTTCTGTTCACAGATGTCACATGTTTGACAGGAGCCTACGATCACCCCAACTCCAACTCGGTCACCAACCTTGAACTTATGGACACTACTGCCAACTGCTGTCACGAAACCAACAATTTCATGCCTGCACACAAATAAGTTATTTATGCTGTAATATAAGCTTAGACTAACACTTGTGACATTAAATTGAAATATTCATGACAAGTTCAAGATACTGTTGTAAACCATTTATTGAAGAACCAAAATGGAACATGCTAGTGGTCATCATTTAGTGACAATGAACTTGTAGTAAAGTAAACCTGAAATCATTTTCTCAAATTTTAGTTTCCCCGTGCCGGATAAATCTTTTGGGCCTCAACTAATATGGATTTGCCCTGCGTAAAGCCCATTATAGGGGGAAGCGCTCCCTATTAGGTGTTTTTTCATTCCCAGGGTTCAAACTCAAGACCTCAGTTAAGATTAGAGGGATAATATTCATCACACCACAATGCTTGGTGGTCTAAAATCTGATGTCTGTCAAGTATAATGAGAAGGAGCTCTAATGTGTAAATATTGGAGGAGGTAATGACTTCATTGATAAGCATATCCCCTGGATGCAATCAGCTCCAAAATGATTAGGGATTTGAAGACTCTGGGTGCACCAATATTATCTTAAGTTATTAACGGATAATGTAGTATTCGATTGGTCACTAATGACTTGAACTATACTGAAAATACCAAATACAAATATATATGAAATATAAGCTCTAAGTTAATACTTGTACTTTACTTTGTTATAATATGAGTTGTAAGTATTTAAGATAATATGCAGATTTTAACCTTCTTAAAACATTTGTGTGTGATAGCTTAATGGTCAACGTGAGTTAGTTTTACTGAATGGTCATGAGTTCGAATCCATTCTTAAAAAGACAACAATGAATCCATTCTCTAAGAAAACAACAAAATAGGGTTCTAGCCGCGATAGAACCCTAGCTACATGGGTGAGTGTTTTGGCTTGTACTAGCGACCCAAGTGCATTTCTATGCTCCCCCGGTGCACTCTTAATTATATTTTAGTTTCTGATAGTTTCTCAAGATGGATATACATATGATTTTTTTCGAACTTAACGAGTGCACGTGCATCTCCATCTATACATGTGGGTTCACCTCTACTCCAGTACATTGACTAGACTGGATCTGGCTCTCCTCCACTAGCCCATATGAAACTAATGAATGGGTTAGATTGATTTGCTAAAACCAATCTTTTTAACTACGGTCACTGACTTCTTTTTTCTCCATTACAATCCACTTTCTTCTTCGGCATTCAGTAATTCACCATCAAATTAGAAAGGGAAGAAGGGAAACTGTACTCAGGTTAACTTTTGCACAATCAAGTGAAGGAGAAATGAAGAAATACCATCTTGTTTCTCTATTTTTGACTTGAATAGAAAGGAAAAGGGAACTTTTTGGTTGCTGGAGAAAATGTAAATTATGGGATTTTTACCAATATTTCTCCATTGATGAATCTCAATCAAAATATAATTTTTATTAATTTTTTCATCTTTCAACTCTATCCTCCTCTTCAGCTATGAAAAATTTAAGAAATTATATCAAACCTAATTAATACACTATTGTAATTCCAAATAAGCTTCAACTTATGCATTTGCTACATGAATAAAAACTAATGTTTTTAGCTTTTTAAAGGCTAGAAAATTTTTCTGGGTTGTAATTGACTAGATAAAGGACCATCAACTTTCATTCTTCCATACTTATTGGCCAGCCATGAAAGTAATTTCATCATAAAATTTCTCCTAAAACTTCAAATCTGAAAAGGCCGGAGGAACCACTCGTTCTGATTTGAGTTTTAACTTGCTGAAATTTTCAATTTTTGATAGATCTGAAAGGGAGAGGAGAGGCTTGGAGTCTAGTGGTGGAGAGATAAATACAAATGGAGGTTAATATTTGATCATGATTAAAATGGTTGGTTTTACCAAATAAATCTGAACCATCTATTAATTTAAGGGACACTTGTAGCAATATTAACCCCCAATTGGAGGAACTTGACAGATTGGCTACTGGAGGGAAGCCAAATCCGACTAGACCTGCTACTAACTACACTTCAAGGACCTAACCATAAATCATGGACTAATCTAAATTATTTACATTTTGTAATCTACAGTTCTACACCAACAAAAAAGGGTTGCTTTAGTGTGTAACTATTGATGTCACCTAATATATCAATATAGAAAGGGTAACTTAGTACTTCTATCAGGCTGTTAATTAAGAAGTAGTTAATCTGTTAGTTAGTTATTAAGTCAGTTAGTCAACTATTGTGTAAATGAGTCAGTTGTGATTCATTATAAAAGGATCACACACAATGTATTTGAGGTTAGATTGAATATAATTCTCTAATTAATTTACTAGTTTCTGATCTCTCTACTTCCTCTTAACTTCTCCCCTCCTCAAGGAATTCTGTATCAATTCATAAATAACAACATGGTATCAAAACAACTACATCTATTGAGTTAACCTGGCTAGTGGGACTACTGAAGAATCTTAGGTTAACCATCACACAACCCACCACAAAGATTAGTGATAGCAAAGCTGTTCTACAAATAACAGCTAATCCTGTCTTCCATGAAAGGACAAAACACATTGAAATAGACTGTCATTTTGTTAGAGAAAAAATACAACAAGGTATGATAACTACTCAATACATTCATACCAAAGAACAACCAGTGGATCTGCTCACAAAAGAACTGCCCAAGGTTCAGCATAAACATCTCAAGAACAAGCTAGGTGTTATCAACATATTCAACACACCTAACTTGAACGGGAGTGTTGATGTCACCTAATATATCAATAAAGAAAGGGCAGCTGAGTACTTACTTCTATCTAGCTGTTAAAAAGTAGTTAATCGATTATTTAGTTATTAAGTCAGTTAGTCAGTTACTGTGTAAATGAGTCAGTTGTGATTCATTATAAAAGAATCACACACCATGTATTTGAGATTAGATTGAATATAATTCTCTAATCAGTTTACTAGTTTCTGATCTCTCAACTTCCTCTTAACTTCTACTTTTCTTAAGGAATTATGTATCAATTCATGAATAACAACAATAACTTCTCATCAAAATCTAAAACAATAAAGTTGAGCACACAGAAGAAATTACCACCTTGCCTTTGGTGCAATAACAAAGGGGTTTAACGGACATAATAAGCACTTTTGCAACTAAAATGGCTTAATTCAGTTTGTGTCCCTTCCCCAACTCCTTTTTGGATGGTGGTGGTGAGAAAGGAAGCAAACCTAAAATAAAAGAAAAGTTTAGCACTTAATGGTGAAATATTATTTGAAAGGATACTACAAGCTATGACCTTCACGCACAGGGTTTAGGCTAAATCAAGCCTCAGAAAGACCTCTTTTATTTTCTAATTAGGAGAGAAGACCTGTAAAAATGGAGACAAGATAAAAAAAACTTTTGATGTTAATCTTAGCTAGCATTCTAGTAGGATTGATAAATCGAACAGTCGTTGGACTTTTCAAAATGTAATTTTAGTCCCTAAGTTAATTTTTTGGTGCTTCAACTAAAATTCATCAAATAGAAATTCTAGATCCTTTAGACAAAGCCTAAAAAATGTCTACCTATCATTGGCATTTTCAAGCGAATCTTGAAATTCCCTTGTGACGGGGCCTGAAAGGGATTGGTGTAGGCATTCAACGTTTAGTTGTGAAGCACACTTCAAGTAAAATCTAGCACCCATTTCCTTTCATGACTCAAGAAGTGAAACATTTTTCAAATCTCCAAGAGGTTTCTGAACTCAAAAATTATGTGAACTGCTAGTCTTCTACCAATGAAGCCTCTAGCAGTGGAAACATATTGTTATTGACTTTGTTGGGAAACATTCACTTTTTTCCTCCCATGATAACCTTTAATCATCTTTTCACCAAGAAAAGAACAAGGTTAACTTGGCCGAAATGTCAAAACACTTGTTTGTCTTATCCTTCTCCCATGTTTAAGTTGTTGGATTATAACCTAAATATTTTGTATATATGTTTGTATAGAACAATTGCATATAAGTATCTAGAAAGAAAAAAAGAAATACCAAAAAGTAGAGCTCCCTTATTCTTATAAATCATACTATCGCAAATCTTTTTAGTTGGATCATTTTGAATCATCATAGTCAATAAGGCGAATGGAAATTAGCATAGCTTTGAGGACAGCCGGTGATCTTTTAACATCAAAGTGTATATAATAGTGTTGTAACATCAAATTAAAGTGGTGTTACCCAGGGATAATGGGGTATTTTGTGAATCCCCATTCATTCTTCAAAGTATGCAAGTCGGAGTGACATACTCCACAATAAAGTATCTTCACTGTAACATCATCATCACCATTTTCTCTGCCATCAATTCAAATAGGAATATATATAAATTCACAATTCTCATTTCTTCTGGTCATAAATTAAAGAGTTAAAACAATTGGCTTTTTGTATAAAATAATTCAAAAATTTGTACTAGCTCAAAGGAGAATACAACATGCATGTTTATACTCATTGAATTCAAAGAATTGATCCTAAAAGGTCGTGATGCAGTCAACCTAAAATGAAGAAGGTACCTGCGGGAGAAATGGAAGGGAGAGAGAATTCCGGAGGGGTCCCTGGCGGCCCACCCAAAAGCTTTTTGGGCCATTTCTCTAAGTCTCTCGATTTGCAAGTGTTGAAATTTAACTGATGACAAGTTTGACTAATCCAAATTAAATCTTTCTCTAATTAATGATTAAGATTATTGGGGCGTAAAATGTAATTTTGTAGTAACACGAGAGAATTGAGGTTCTCTCGTGGAGGGTGATAAATAAGTGTTGAAATTTAAATTAATGACAAGTTTGACTAATCCAAGTTAAATTTTTTTCTAATTAATGATTACGATTATTGGGGTGTAAAATGTAATGTTAAAAATTGTTAAATTCTTAAAACAATTTTAAAAATCGTTAAATTCCTTTTCTCTTACAGTTAGCATTAATCCGTTTTTAAGTTAGTGTATTATTAAAACAAGGAACGATCAACAGATGGTTGCCTGTAACTTATCCACCATATTATTTAAAGTTCGATGGTAGCCTGTGACATATCCACCATATTATTTGAAGTTAGACAGTGGTTCGTACTCATTGGTTAAGTAATGTTGCTTTACTAGTAGTAAAAGTTAATGCTTTAGTCTATATATGTTGGGGTAGCTCGAATGCGTTAAGCAATTTGTGGAGAACTTTCTAATATATATATGAGCAATATATTACAACAACTTTGAGTTCTATGAGACTACTAAATGTTATCTTGATTAGTGGATAAAAGAAGAGTCTGTTCTGTGAGACTACTTATAAGTGTTATCCCGATTATTAGAACGATGACAAGTGGATCATGAAGGAACATTTTAATCTCTCTCTTCTAGAGTCTTAAACATGTCAAAGCATATATAAAAGTCTTTAAAGTGAAAAGGTGCACTTTGCCAATTTGTTCATAGTTTTGGATTGTGCCTATGGTTTTGCTTCAAAATTGTGTTTATATAAGATAAAGTTACAAAGTTCCCATACATCATGATAGGTATTTGACATTTTTTATGATTTGAGCTAAATATACTAGGATCAAACTGCATACAATTTTCATCGATCATATTATCCCTTTTGCTTTCTTAAATGCGTTTTACAATTTTTAACTCTGAGGTTACCTTTTTTGTTTTATTATTAGATTATGAGAATGTCAAAGTAGTTGTATTTTTCCATCTTAATTACAGGGACAAGAACACAAATGGCGTTGAGGAAGAGTTTGAAGGCCTTTAATGTTTTCTTTTTATCATATATACAATGACATTGAACAATATTGGTAATATTGGTAATATTGGATGTATACAAAATAATACTGGATGCATTTACTATTTGTAAGCAATTTTTTGATCTGTAATTGTTGGAAAAATAGGTTTTAGTGGAAATTTGAGTTGCTACTAAAGATATAACTAGTTTAGTGAGGATTTTAGTCGCCCCTAAAGCTCATTCTATTGCAGCAATAAGAGCTGCCACTAAATGTATAACACTATTGTGGCAACTTATGTCGCCACGTCAAGTCAATTTCAGTAGCGATAAGAGTTGCCACTAAACGTAACATGCTATAGTGGTGACCCTGTTCGTCACTAAAAGTCAATTTTCAGTGGCAACTAACTAAACGTAATAGTACTTGGTTAAGTTTAGGTGTGTCGTTGTCACACCCCAAATCCGGATGTGATGGCACGTGTCCATTTCCCACCGGACACGTCAGCCTAACCCAACCACAACGCTAGAGAAGTAGAAATACGAGAATAAAAGATAATAAATAAGCGGAAGACTTTAATTAAGACTCAACACTACCCAGAATTTGGTTGTCACATGTACAAACCTCTAAATACAGAATTCGAATAAAAATATACAAGTCTCAGAGTATAGTTCTCGAATAGAACAAAACTGAAAGTAAAGATAACTCAAGGGCACGTCTGGAATGAACCGCTACCTCTCGAGTATGTCCCGAAGCTCAATCTGCTAAAGAAAATACTAAGCCGAATCTGAGAGAGCTGTCAACCTACACAATTGTATAGAAGCAAGGGTGGGTACCGAAAATCACAGGTACTCGCAAGTAACTCTAAACTAAGCAAAACTAGCAGCTACAAACAACTCCTTTCAATACCAACCTAACAACCGAAACTTCAATCTAACAGCAAACCAACCAACCTATACTAAACAGATCATATTCAACAGCCAGAACCAACAGTATATCCTCATCAACCTCAGATCAACAAATAAGAGCAAGTAGATCAAATTCCACATAAGAAGGGTAAACCGATACAATCCACACATCACAGACAAAGATAAGGCAAATGCGATGCAAAATGCAATAATGATGTCATGTAGTCGTGATGCATGTCTGTCCTACGATACACATCTGTTGACGTAATCAGTCCGCGCTGAATACTCAAATCAGAACCCATGGGGGCCACACATGGACCATGTATCACCGCCGGAACCAGATCCCATCGGCATCCAAATCGCTAGCCGGAGCTAGTCCATCTCATATATCTCTAGCCGGAGCTAGTCTCAACTGTGTCTCATATCCATCCATCCTCATATCAGTGTCTCAGAACTCATGCAACAGATAGTTCACACATGGGATGAATAATGAATATGCACATGTCATCAATCACAATCATATCACGATCACATCATAATATTACACATCATCTGTCTCAA